TTGTTTAAGAAAAGAGACTTGGAGTGTTTTTTGCTCTCAGCTTTGTGTTAATTAGTGCTTGACATTTTTAAACCTTTGGGGCAACTTTGCTTGATGTATGCACAGGGAAAGGGATCCTTCCTACTGCTGTCAGGCAGATTTTGACCATTTCTTAAAAACTGCATCCAAACAAAAAATAGATCCTTCCCTACTTATTTTTCAGTGAAAAAATGGACGAGAACTGTCTCAGGTATTCACTCAGTAGTTATGGCACTGACCTTGCACAAGGAACACATGCTCAGATTCCTGGCCTGAATGCAAAAGACCAAAACTCACACTCACATCTCCCAGATTCCTGTCAGTGGATCTAAATCCAGGCCCTAAAATCAGCCTACTGCTGCTGCGCTTATCTGGCTCCATCACAGAGAATGGAACTATTTAAAGTGCTGAGATCCCAACAGAGACTGAAATGGTGCCTCCAAAACCAGACCCCACAATGATGTGACAGCACCCTCTCAGATGCTGGCAAGTAGTTCATATTCCCAGGTTCTTCAAAATACTTACATGGAGAGTGTTTAAATCTTTAAGAGAAGGTAATTTTGTTCACTGTCAAAGAACCCTGGAAACCACTGGTTCTCCAGGGTTTAGAGAGATGATGTGAACATTACCTGCACAAAGAATAGCAACAAAGGCTGGAAATGGGAATTGCCATTCCAAGTCACAAGTGCACAAATTTACCCCATACCCTCCAGGCAGCCCAAGGCCACCCAGAGGATCAGAAACAAAGTCTGCAAACAATGGCTGGCCATGCTACCAATCTCTCTTATTGTGTGTAAAGGTGCCCTACTGTATCCAAAATCCTTTTTAGAATAACTTTTCAGTATGATTAGATTTATCTTTGATTAGGTGTGTCTTTGAAAGGTCGTGGAGAAGAGGAGGAATGGAGGAAAGCCAATGTCATCCCAGTCTTCCAAAAGGGCAGGACAGGCCAGCAGGCTGTTCTGCCATTCAGCCAGACCTGGACGGGCTGGAGAAGAACTCAGAGACTCCCAGCTAAAGCAAGTGTGGGGTGTGACAGCTCAGGAAGAACAACTCCATGCACCCACGCAAGTGAGAGCCCAACCTGCCGGGAAGGGGCTCTGAGAAGGAAAGAGCACTGGCAGGAGCTGTCCAGACAGTCTGTGGAGTCTCCTCTGGAGATGTTCAACTCTGCCTGGACATCACCCTGTGAAACCTGCTCAGGATGAACCTGTTCTGAACAGGGGCTGGACTACAGGATCCACAGAAGTCCCTTCCAACCCCAAACATTCTGTTACTTTGTGATTTATGGACTGTGGGGGTTTCACATGGAGTCTGCTACAAGAGAAGAACACAAAGCTGTCAATTACTCACCTACAACATATATTCTCTGTCACTAATCTCCTTTCCAACCAATTTCCAAATTACTTTATTAAATCATCTTTCCCATTTACTAAATTATATTACTTAAAAGTACCTACTTTCAATCAAAAAATACCCATGACAGCGCAAATGTCCATAAGGGTAAACTCCATTAGTCTTCCCGTGTTGGTGGAGGATTGATTTGAAGCACTGGAAAAAGAAATGTGCACCTTCACAACTTCTGATTGTCTCTGTCTTGGTTGGGTGATCCAGTGGCTTGATGATTTAGAATTTTGATAACATAGTGGGATATGAACAAGACTTTTCAAACATACTTACTCATTGTGTTTGTGATTTTTTCTTTATAAAGACTTGCTTGGAATTGAGGTATCCACTTGAGAAACTTCATTCATCCATGAAGATTTCCATAACTCTATTTGCTACAATGAACAAAGCAGGCAAATTTTGGCATGACCCCACTTTTGTGCTTTACTCTCTAAATTAAAGTTTTGTTCAGAAAAAAGCCCCAGAAATCACCACTTTTATTTAGGGAGTAATGTTTAGGTGCCTGTTTTGTCTGAGGAACCTACCCAGGTACCTTAAACTGAACTCTCGCTTCTGACTCAGTACTTACCTCTCCTTGGTGTGCAGGACACAATGCCAGCTCTGAATGATGTTCAGTTCATGTCTTGCTCTAACATGACAGAGGTGGGTGCTTGGAAGCACTCTCTTCTACATCTCCACTAAGGGTTTGACTTGTGTTTAGGTACCAATGTTCAGCAATGCCTTTATCCAATGAGCTCTATGGCTCCCCAGGGCAGACTCGTACCCCTGCTCTCAGGCTGGCTATTGCTAGCAGGGTCCCTTGGTGTAACTCAAGGTCCTGTGAGTGTCACCACCCTGGGCAGCTGCCCTCTCTGAGAGCCAGCCCTGGATGCCTCAGCAGGGTGGGAAAAGGAGTGGCAAGAGAGCGGAGCAGTCTCTGCTTCCCCAGGGCCACTCTGTTTGCCACGGGCTCTCTCCCAGCACAGTGGCTGTGAATTAATGAACCAATACTCCTCTCTCCCCTGCACCAGCTGGCTGGCTCCTGGGAATCACCTGAGAGTGAGCAGGGACTTGGTGACAGACAGACAGACACTGCTGTCAGTCCTGCCCTGACATGAAACACCACCTTCCCATTACAGGCTGACTTCAGAGGATAGCAGAAGTAAGAGCAAGGCCCTTGGCTGCAGTAAGGTGTGTCAGATTCCTGATAAATGCTGTGCTGCAATTTAACACAACTTTTCAGAGGGTGGCTACGCACACTCAGCCCTTGCTATTTTAAGGAAGCAGCCCTGTCTCAACTACTTGCCACATTTAGCCATTTAACTACTCAGAGGTCACTGTGATGAAAAAGGTTGTATGGGCCTAATTCCCAATTAGTTCCTAAGATGGTCCAGCCCAACAGCTGGGCTCTGGAAACCGCTTTGAAGAAAGAATGTGACATTTCTGTAACACAGAAATAGCGCTCTTCTCTCTCTTTGCCTTGGAAATCCTGTTTTCTATCAGCTTGTCTTTTTTTTTGCACTGATTTTCTTGCCCCGCCCTCTGATTAAATGTTCTCCTCTTCTCCAAACTTACTGTTTGCAGTGCCTGTGGCCTGGGCTGGGTCTGGACAAGCATATGTTAGAACAGGCAGCCCTGGCACTGCTGTTCTGCAGCATGTGAGCACACAGAATTCCTGCCTCCTTCCACATGCACGCTGCCTTGGAAGCAGATCCTACAACCTGTCCTGCTCAGCCACAGGGATCTCTGCTAGAGAGGGAGGGGAAGAGGGAGAAGCCTGCCCTTCCTGTGAGGCCTGGATGGGCTGCAGAACTACCAAGTGTCCCTGTTTGTGAGGAGCCAACCTCCCTGCACTCTGCTTTAGCAGCTGCACCTCGCAGCACTGAACTCCAGTCCTCCCACTCCTCTCTTTTACCAATCATCTGTAAGGAACGAAGAAGTTGAAACTCCTGAAGCAATTTGGATCAATTCCTCAATTACTACAGTTAATTTTTTGACTAATGGTGTTTTTTTATGATGGTTTACGTATAAAGTATGACTGCACAAATTTAAGAAGAAAGGAAAGCCTTGAGAAGCATGAAGCAATTCTGTTTTCTGAGAGAACAGCCCAAGGAGATGATAAATTACTATGGATTAATAACTCACTGAAGAAACAGTGAAGTTAATCTAGACACAATGAACTCTGGATTTAATATACAGCCCTAAGAGATGGTACTTTTCTTCAATGTGTGCTGGGAGGCCATTTCTAGAAAACAGAATCAATCTGATTACGTCAGGTGTATGTACAGGGCATATTCAAGACCCAGGAAATGGTAATTTTCAGGCCCTGAAATATTGTGTTCCTTACTTATATTAAAAATTGAATAAATGAAAGCACTGGGCTCCCTTTTGCTCAGAACAAACAGCCTCTTCTCGAACACTCCTAAATAGAAAAGAGTATTACAAAGCCACCAGGAGGCAGCAGATTAAAATATTTGTGCTGTAAAAGAACAACCATTAAAAAACCCCCAGCCAGCCCCCAAACCCTGGTGCTCTCCCAAATGTTCAACCTGATATGGAAGAAATGTGTTCTTCCAGCCCCCTGCTGAACATTTGGTTGTATCCACTGATCTCTCTTCTCTGCATACCTGAAATCAGTAGCAATTCCACTGCTGTCAAACAGCTTTATGCAGGAGCATGGTTAAAATGGAAATCAAACTGATTTCTGGAATAGCATTCACTGGAAAAAAATGAGCAAAAAAAGTAAGTAAAAGTGATATGACAAAATATGAGACCTCCCATTAAACTAAACTGCTTTTGCTCCCTCTGGGGTTTAGTGAAAAATTCCAATGCCCTGAGCACTCTCCTGACTACCTTTTTTGTTTACAAAATGCCACCCAAGAAGAAGAAGCACTGCAATTGTGACCAACCCAGGCCAGGCCCTGGCTACCTGCCACGCCAATGCGCTGCTCCAGCTACGCTGCCTTGGCCCCGCTCCAGCTCTGCACTCCCTGACCCAGGAAAGCTGCAAGTTGTTTCCTCTCCTTCGTCCTTCTTTTTTCTGCTGGTATAAAAGACTGTCCTCAGTTGTGGCTCAGCATGGTTTAAGACAGCCTGAAATCACTACAGATATATATGTAAGCTTTTAAACTGGTGCGTTATTTTAAATCCTAATTATTTATAGACATAAGTGTATTTTATATTTCTACATGTATGTTTTTATATTCCTACATATATTTATGGCATTATATAGCATACAATAACTTATCTTATAAAGTCTTGTGTTACAGGCTGAGCATATATATGAAATACAGCAAGGCAGCAACAGAAGTGTTGGAACTACCTAAAACATTTCTAAATATGGCCCTACGAGCACAAGGTATGTGCACAGTCCACCAACAAAGCAGAGCATGAGCAGCGTGCCGTCAGCCCCAGGAAAGGCACTTAGGAACCAACCAAAGGAAAAACCACAACAGCAAACGCTTCTATTTTCAAACCAAAAATTCATCTCCTAAGAAAGTGCGTCCGTGCCTCTGGTGTCTTAATTCAAACAGACACTACGTATTTTCCACTGCAAAGATCACAGTTAATTGGGAAATTAAAAGACAAGCACAATGTCAGCAGAAATCACAAATTTATTAATTCTTAAATATATCAATCATTTACCATTATGGCAAGAAATATGTACACTGTGTCCCATGGTAAACTGCAGTGTTCCAAAATGACAGAAGTGTATAATTCAGTTGTGGTGGAGAGAACAAATCACAAGTTCCTCACGTCTTGGTGTGGAAGACAAACTTGGTCTACAGTAATACATCAACACCACATGCTATGTTAGAAGTATAAAAAAAACACCCTACACCTAATTGGTTAATTTTAAATACAGTTATGCCACTTATAGCCGCTTCACAAAAAAAAAAAAAAAAAAAAAAAGAAGAAAAAGAAAAAAAAAAGAAATTAATGAGAAAAAAATGAGGCCATTACTTTTTTCACAGATCCCATTGGCAGGTTAATATGGCTCAACACATTTATTGTAGATGCTTACTTTAAATATATATTGTTTAAAATCATGTAGTAATTATCAGAGAAGCTTAAGTCCATCTACCATACATCCACTAGTAACAACATCAACATGTTTAAGAACTGCTTCTGATTAGTAATCAACACAGAAAGGTGAAATGATACAAATTAGGAAGCTTTCCCATTTTAAAAAGTTCTGGCTGCCGAGTTGTAAATTTTGGACGGCTAAAAAGGACACTGACTCAGACACCATGCACTGTACAGCGCTGCGGGAGCAGGAGCCTGCTGCCAGCAGAACCACGGGGAGAACAGGAGCAGCCCAGCCTGGCCTTTCCTGCAACACTGGAAGGGAAGAAACCGAAATTCTTGCCAGGGTGTGTTTTTACAGCAACGTGAGGGAAGGAGAACCAGTCCCTGTTGCAAAGGTTGCATTCTGTGCTGCCAGCACGGCGTCCCACCCTCGCTCGGCCTGGAGCTGGGACGAGCCTGGCGGGATCGCCGGCCTCCACACGGAGCGCTGCCAGGGCGGCTGGAGAAACCACGGGCGGACTGAGGGCAGAGGGGGACACAAACCTGCGGTACAGTGTGAGGGCTCCACGGAAAACCCATGTCTCCGTAATTCATTTCCAGAGAAGCAACAGCAGCAGTGTAATGTAAGTAAACTCTTCATACTTAGCTTTAAGGCCTAATATTTCTTGAGTATATTATCCACACAACTGGTCTATACATTAACCCACATATTATATTTTTTAAAGCCTCCTTAAAAAATTTACAGTACATCCTAAAAGCGATAAAAATCTTTCTCTTTCCTTCCATTTTAATCCTCAAAAACTGTCTCTCAATTATCACTTAGTTCCTTACAATTTTTAATTTTGCTTAATTATCCGACAGAACCATTCAGTTAAGCAAAATAAGAAAGCGAAAAGGACTCAAAAGAAAAACGGAAGTTGCTGACTCACCAGAACACTGACAGTTAATTCTGGAGTGGCCAGGCCAGCAAATGAAGAGATTTTTCCAGTTTACAAAGACTAATAAACTATAAAGGCTGCAGCTGGTCCAAAGCCAAGATATTAACACTTCCCCATTTATCAGTGATTTTGTCCATCTAGGATAAAAATCTGTTTTACAGTAATGGAGCTGCCAGCGGAAATCCTAACCATTCCTGCCAGAACCAAAGCAAAATCCTGGGACTCAGGAGAAAAGGAGGAGTCAAAAACCAGTTCTTAAAAAAAGACGGTAAAATATACTTTTTCTTTTTTTTTTCTTTTTTTTTAATAAACACCTTAGATTTTAAAGTTGTCTGTCAAAATTTATGTCTTGGCATAAATGGAGCAAGTGACAAATGTATTGTGTGTCTACTGCTGTCCATCCAATATCTCTTTTTTGTCTTTTACGCCTTGTTATTCTCTATTTGCATGGAACATCACCTTCATTGAAATGTTAACAGTGTACAGATGGAATATACAGCAACGTGGTGCATCACAAATGTGTTACATGAAGAACCTTCACAACTTCATGCACTCAGAAACATGCATGAAGAGAACGGGATGGCCAAGATGGTAATCAACCAGGTGCGTTGGGTACAGAAAATGCAAGAGCGGCACCGCTGATATTTTTAGCTAGGAGGAAGGAGAAAAAAAAACAAACAGATTTCCATTACTGAGGTAACATCACCACCAGATAACAACACATGCTCAAGTGTTAGCCAATGCTATTGAAAAAAACCCATCTTGTCGAGATCACTAAACATGATACTGGGGGAAAAACAAGGGAAAAAACCTCCACTCAGGCAAAGCATTCCTTTATTTATCAAACCACTTAACAGACATTTTCCATCTTTACAAGATGCCAGAGAGGCTGTGAAAATCAAAAAGAAAACTGAGGCAGGAAGCCAAAGTGTCTTAAGGGATTCCTTAAGGAAGGAAGGGTAGAATTCAGCCGTGAATCTCTGGCTGTAACTTCACTTCCTCAGCATGGACATCGCAGGCACTGCCATGGACTGAGGCTCTTGTACAAAGACTGGACCACGTGCCAAGGAAGAATGAGGTGTCATTCACATGCAAGATATGCCAGGGCCAAATGCAGAGAGAGAAGGAAGGGAAAGGAGCTGGAAGCAAGTATGGAGCTAACTGAGGTTGCAGCATGATTTGTATTACCGTAGCATCTAGGGGCTGGAGCTGTGCTGGGATCCCTCTGCGCTAGGCACTGCACAAACACAGAACAAACTCTTTACTCTGCATTCCTGCTCCCTGGCACTGCGCTTATCAAAGTACAAGAAGGTGTGAGCAGTGATGAGGGAGGGAACATAAGCCTCACGGAGGCTGAAGTTAGGTTAGGGAGTCACTTTTAGCCCAGCAGCCCTTTGACTGCCCATATTGGGCAGGTGCAGTCTCTGAGGAGAAGCAGACAGCTCTGCACAAACACATTAGCACAGGTCCCCAAGAACATGGGTACACAGAACAACTTCCTACCGTCACTCCTATCACTCACAGAGAAACCATGGACCAGACAGAAACCCAAGTTTGCCCCATCTCACTCACAGCAAAACCATGAATAAAATTTATTTATAAACTAAACACATACTTGTGCTCATATCCTTTTTCAAGTAAGTTCTCTGCCACAAGGTAACCTTTCCCTGTACCTATAGCTACCAAAGAGCTCAGTTCTATCCTTAGACTTATGCACACTCCTTCCTGAAAACAAGGAAGCTACTGTGCTTGCAGCAACTGGTTTAACACCATCTGGGATACTGTGTCTAGCAGATCGCAGTTATAACTGTTTTTGCAACTTTATTAGATTTGAAATTAATCTTCAGACATGATGTGTAAAATACTTTTTTATTATGGAACTGCCATTATTAACTACTGTGTGTTGGTAATAATTAAATAAGTAGCTGTAGACTGTATAAATTTCAAATAAAGGAACTAGAACAATAAGTTAATTAAGTTCCTTTAGTTTTCCAGAATGGAGTTATTGCTGCTCTGACTGGGAAAAGCAAAGGTGAAATATGAGACAGTGTAAAAATGTTCAGGATGAGTTCTAGAAGAAGATGGGTCTAGCTAGGTGCTACATGGGAATCTCCCAGTCAGACTTTAGAAGATGGGGAATAAAGAAAGAATGGCAATATTTGTGCTGAAAGGGACGTTATCAGCCTAGAGCAGACTCCCTAGTGCTGAGCACAAGGACTGATCTCATATAGCATACTGACACTTAGGGGGAAGGCACTATAAAAAGAAAAGAAAACAGGAGCATTGTGCAAGGAGAACCAAATAACCTTGAGGGCTGGGTAATCCAAAAATATTACATGGAATAATAGGAAGTGCAAAGCTCTGTAGAAATTTCTGTGTACTCACTGGCTGGAAATGAGAGTTGAGGGTAAATAGGTGGCTGTCTGAGATGCGCTGCAGATGACAAAAGTCCAAAAATCATGCAAGAACAGAGCAAGGAGAAGATATTGGGGAATAAAATAAAGCCCTGACTACAACTGGACAGAGCATTTCAGAAGAAGCCAAGATAATGGAAAGGCAAACCTCCAACAAAAAAAGGAAGGAGATAAAGTAACAGGAAAATGGAGATCCTATCAGACAAAGCCATCTGAGGTAGGGCTGGCTGTTTACCCTACAGAAGGAGAAGCAATGATCTGATCAGCCTTCCTACAAACCAGTTCATGTCTGCACACCTAACCAGCGCAGGAGAACAACCATGGCAGAGGAGAACCAAGGATACCCTGAAGATGACCAAATTTTACATGGAAAGCAAGGCTCCGAACCATCAGACCAAGCTATTTTGGAACAGTGGTAGGAGCAAGTCCAAAAGCCTCCCCTGAATTCAAGATGAGAGCTGGTTATGGGATTTATGTGGCATTGTTGCCAATGCTACATAGGTAGGGCTATGCTGCTCACTCAGGGAATCTCTCCTTAAGCCTCAGTCTGGCTCTGAGGCTCCTCTGTGACCCCTTAAGCTTGGACACCCCTTGCAATCCTGCAATCTCGTCTGTCTGACCCATTGGCTCAAAAGATTCACCGCTACAGAAACCACTCTGCGACTGCAACAAAATTACTCCATGGGGATTTTTCTTCTCCTTCCACCCTCGGCAGTCACAGAAATCCAGATCTTTATTAGGGAGCACAAGCAGATGCAAAGGACATCCTATAGTACCTCCCAAAAAAGACAAAGGTGGGAAAAAAAATCAGGGGAAAAGATTAAATGATTTTCTAGTCCATTTCATGTCACTGTCCTGTAAAAACTGACTGTTCAAGGGTGCAGTGTGCCAGGTGAACCTGCTTCACTTGGGCTTTCTGGTTCTACACACACCCAGCTCAGATCCCTTGACAAACTCCTTTGAAGACCTCAAAGATTTACCTAAAACTGCATTTCAAGGAAGAGTAACTGCTCTTTAAATACTATCTGTTGAAACACTGGCAGTGCAGCTGGAATGTAGAAACAAACATTTGGTTCCTGTTCCCATTGGCTTCATATTTTGAAGTAAAAAGTTATCACTAAGTAATAAAATTTCTTTTTTCCTAAATAAAAAAATAATACAAAATCATCACCATGGAAGTTAAACACTTCATTCTACCTTATTTCTTACTTCATCAAGTATTACTTCATATAGGAGAACAGTGTTGCAAGGAGTAAAATATGAGACATGATGGTTCAAAAGATGAAATCTAAGCCATCACCATCCATGCCAGGAAATTCAGCCACTCTCCACATTAAGACACCTGACGCAAATGGAATTGTATCCTACACAGAGGACTCACAGCTGAGCAAAGCCAGGCCTGGACCAGGCTGCCTATTTGGGAAACCACCAGTCATTGAGGTTTGGGCTCATTTGCAGAGGCTGCTGAAGAAGCAGAGAAGCCAATGGCCTGAGCAGAACCTCCTGAGCAAGCTGTGACTCTTTATTTTGTTATTGCAACCCCGAGTGCGCTGTCATTAACCCTGGTGACAATGTGGCTCAGAGAGCTTGGTCCCTGCCTGACTCTGAGGGTGTGGCAGGGCCTGGATGAACAGCAGAGAGAAATGCTGGTGGGAGAGATGAGAGGCTGTCCCATGGGGATGTCAGAACTGCCCACCAAGGAATACTCAGCAGTTAGGCAGAGAGAGTGTGGGGAAAGAGATAAGAACGTGAGAGGGACTGAGTTGGCTCAATTTACAAGGTAAATGTGTAAACTGGCTAAAATCCAACTTGCAGTGAACATACCTAGGCCTGGGAAAGTAGAGGTGGCTGGAAGTCTCTCTAAATATTAGTCAAACTTTAGTTTTTCCTAATAGTGATGCATTTTACTTGAAACTTTCTGGTTCTGACAGCTCCATATATCCTACTGCTTTCTGTTTTCCCAGGTTTTCCAGCAATGGTATTCTAGGTTTTCTAATCCTGTTTTGTGTGACTTCTGTCAAGCTTTCTCTAGCTTAAAACACTTTCCTGATCTTCAAGCTGTCAGATCAGGGACCGAGTTGGATCGGTGAGCATCAGAGTAGAAAACAACAACCAAAAAAGCGCATTATTTTAGAAATCTTGTCACCAACACTACACACAGCAGTGGGTATACCACATAATGAACAACCACAAAAAAAGACGGTTTTTAAGGCCCAAAGCAGCTATTGGCCTACGTGGTGTGCCTAGGAGGAGCGAGCTGGTGCTGGGGCAGGTCCTTACTTGATGGGCACGGTGGGCGAGCCCGAGCGGTGGAAGTGCACGTTCTGCCACTTGCCGTCGCGCCGGTGCCAGACGCGCGTCTCCTCGGACTGCATGGTCTTGGGCATGCCGCTGCCGTCCATGTACTGCGTCAGGCGGATGTAGGCGATGCACGCCGCGTCCTCGCCCACCAGGTGCACGTGCGGGTTCAGGATGATCGTGTGGATCGGCTTGTTGCTTTTGGACAGAGCTACCACACACACACACACACACACACACGTACGCACAGGAGAAACCACATTTGCTCTGGGTAAGCCAAAAGAACTCATGCCAACCTGTTTTACACGCAAACATCTCAGGCTTAGCAGATACACAATCATAGCCAGGGTTTTATGATAATCAAGCCTACAACTAAAATATTTTTTAGAATGAGCACAGTCGCTTACTATACACTACTTAATGAGCAAATGTGTTTAATCCATGCGTGTCACAGACACATTTTATGAAAAATCCTTTCCTTAGGATTTTTTCTCCTGAGAAGCTGAGAGGCCTCAGGAACAAAAGGTAAACATTGATTATCTGCTGCTGTGGAATGCAACAGGTGCATCTGTGATTGGCCCATGTGGTTGTTTCTAATGAATGGCCAATCACAGCCAGCTCTTCAGGCTGACTTGGTCAGTCACAAGCATTTGTTATCATTCCTTTTCTATTCTTAGCCAGCCTTCTAATGAAATCCTTTCTTTTATTCTTTTAGTATAGTTTTAATAAAATATATATCATAAAATAATAAATCAAGCCTTCTGAAACGTGGAGTCAACATTCTCGTCTCTTCCCTCATCCTCAGACCCCTGCAAACACCATCACACATGCACATATATGGATTATATAAAAGTGGAGGGCACCACCCAGAGTTTCCCAACATTTCAGTTTCCCTATTGCGTCTAATGACATTTGTACCCAATACTTTCAGTTAAAATAATTCAACCCTTAACTCATTCTTAATTTTGACTTTTTAGTTCCAAATACCTGAAATTCTCCTCTGCCCTCTGAGGTGCCCTGTGATGTGTGAATGAGCGGAGCAGAGGCAGACTGAAAAACACCTATAGCAGAACTCTGAAAAAAATAATACTCCCTTCCCCTGCCCAAGCCAATTAACTAACTCCCAGACCAAAAAGCTCATTAGATGAGAGACACACAGTCACAAGGAACAGATGAAGATTTGGAGATGAAAATGGAATATTTACCATTTTCGAAGTAAAACCGGTGGAAGTCCATCCCTTCTACCAGATTACCCAAAGCTTCAGGTTCAAAAGATGTAAGGCCAGGATCACAGATTTTTCTATGGAAAAGAGGAAATTCTGCAATGAGCACACGTGGTTAGGGATCACTGCTTTGGAGAGATAATTTTTAACTGTTTCTTTCATGCCTATCAAACATTTCACCTACTCATGCCATCACACTGGAAAAGAACAGAACTTAACATCAGGAGCAGGCATGCAGTTCTGGTTTCAGCTCAATTAGTAAATTTGTCAGCTTACTTGGAGTGGACCACATTTCACATAAATCATGTTTTGACCAAAAAAAGACCCACAAGTCAATGTTATTACAACTAGGAATTTTTACTTGTGACAATGAAAACCGTGGCTGTGCAATGTAAGGGATATTCTTTATACCTCACATCATGATGTAAGCCAGATTTAAATATTTTCTTCTAACTACCCTGGAGTTATACTAGCAGCTCTTCTGAAACTGGTGATGTATGAAGCCAGGGAAAAGCAGCCATGCACATACCTTGTGTTTCATGGGGGCATCTAGGAAGGCATTTCAACAGTACCCAACTGCAAGCACAGGCACTCACACAGAAATGTGCATACTTACACAGCCAGGGTCAAACACCCCAGCTGTCCTCACCCCCTCCAAAGGAGGAGCTTACGTGTAGGCTTCGAAGTCCCCGTTGTTGATGGCTTCAATCAACTGCTCGGTCACCTTGATAATCTCCTGCTTACGAGCTGGGGAGAGACACAAACCCAATCTTACAGGGGAAGGCAAAGGGGAAGGTGACAGCTGCCAGGGATTCTGCCACCCCCCAGCTGCCATCTCTGCTCCTTTCTACGACCAAAAGACATGATGTTATGTTGTTGCTTTACACTGATTTGCCTTCAGTGCACTCCTGTATCCACAAGGAAATTAAACACATGTCAAGATCAATCCACTTCCCTATCACACTCTAATTATCTGTCCTTCACTGGAGGATCTGCTGTTTAAAAAGCAAAACAAACCAAGCCCAGCTCTAGACTTCAAACTCCAGGAAGCTGATTACTGTTTTCCAGCCAGTCTGGCTGTAGTAGCTCTGTTTGCAAGCAACCGTTGTACAACAGCAACTCCCACACATGAATTTGACCATTAACAAAAACACGTCTGGAATGTTTAAACTGAAAGTGCAGAGTGCGATCACATTCTTCTTGAAAAGAAAAGGCTGGGGAGCACACAGAGAAATTACCTTTCCAATGCTGTGCTCAAAACTGACACTGTGGTGTTAACCTTCTCCTTAGTGCACACCTAAAGCATTCTGATGAAAAGGACCAAAAAGAAACCAGCAAAGAAAAATGTGGTGGTGAAAAAAGTGGATGTAAAGGTCTACCAAGGCTTTTTGTGAGCAGCTCTTGACTGTTAGCACTGTGGCTAAGAGCATTTCAAATATGAACTGCCTTATTTTTCACAAGGATTGTGGAAAGAACAAAGGCTTTTAATGAAGAGAGCAGCAACGCCTCCATCATCATTGGTTTAAACAACATGGGGCAGACTGTGTGGACACTGCAAGGCATTGCCAGCACCAGCCAAGTGGTGGGATGGCTGAGTCAGAAATAATGGTGCAGTCCTACCAAAGGCTGTCAAAAGAGATCCAGAACAAGCAGACCTCGTGCAGTGAGGAAATTACCAGTTCTGCACACAGCATCTCACATACATACAACTGAGCTAAAGGATTTGATTAAATAACCCAGTAACACATCGCAATCAGAGACAAGGAAATTACAGACCATTAAATCAGACAGTGGGAAATGAGGTAAAAATCTCTGATCAGTTGCTACATAATCATGAGCTCATGTTAGTGGATAACGATATAAGCAATTAATATGCCTGCAATGGCACTGTAGTTCCCACACACAAGAGGCACAAAACCACATGGACACATAATTTGTCATCACTTGGCTCAAGACAGTTGGCAATATTCCCCTTTTCACTAATATCAGCCATGCCTTTGCTGAGTTTCACCACAGTACCTTTGATGTTGGGATACACAAGATGTAATTCCACATCAACCCCAGAAGGAAGAAATTGAATTGTGCTGCCAAATTGCTGGTTTTCCTGGTTTTAGCTCCAAAATGAAATTGCAGTGGAACCTATGTTTTCATGAAGCTTTCTGACAGAAGCCACCTTATAGTACCGAATGGGGTTCCAGCAAAGTTTGCCTGTAGCCACACTGAGGAGAGCTGCGTCTGCAGACGGATCCAGGGGATGTCAAACACATCCTTCAGGAAGCTCCAGAGGCAGCAAAGCCAGCAAAGGAGATCACAGCACTTATCCCTGCCTCCAATCAATCACCATCCAGCTCCAGCACTGGTGTCAGCACTTGTGGAAAGGCTCCACAGCTCCCAGCGCAGACTTGGCAGGAACAGGAGGATGCTGCCAAATCATCTGCCTTTCAACTCAGTCCTCAATTTTTCTACAAAATTACAAGCATTACATGAAACTATGAAAACCACTATGTTACTCTCACCTTTCAGTGACACACAATTACACATATACTAGAAAATTACATTTCTTCCTATTTAGTGATCTGCTATGCAGTTTCACTGGCAGTGAGCCAAAGGGAGAGGTGAAGCACAATTCAGAGAGAGGAGCTCCAGAATTGATTTATCCTATCATGCAAAATTCTCTGCCTCCTTCCTAGCCCGTTCTCAGCACAAGAACAAGGCAGTGTGAAATAACAGCAGACATCAAAGACTAATTCAAATACTCAGGAGCCACTGTGATTTTGCACAAACCTCCTCCTCATTGTTTTTAGCTTTTATGCCTTCTCATGTGGGTATTGGTGGGGATGCAGGGAGCCAGACTACAAACAGAGACCAAAAGTGTTACTGCTTCGTTGTCATTGAAACAGAATTTTAACCTGGAAGGAGTAAGGAAAAGAAAATAGATGGGAAAACTGAAGTATAACAAGAAGAGAACTGGAAGAAGACTGGAAAGCAGCAGAAGGAAAATACAGCTGTGACTTGGTGGCCATGTGCATCCAGTCAAATCCCTGCACCTTCCCTTAGTGCAGAGGACAAAATTGGGAGGGCACTGGACATAAACTGAGGTGAAATGGTGTTGGTAGGAACAGTGTCCTGCTACTGCAGACAGCACCTGACACAAATAATTGGCAGTTCTTAGAGTGGTAAGAAAATGATCCAATTTTCATTCTGAGTTTGATGGACTCCACATAACGTGCTCTTTCATCGCTCCAGTTTTTTTTCCATCCAAACACACACTCCAAACTATACAAGGACAACACAAGGCATTAGGGAAGAGGCATCTGGCCAGTTCCCATCTGCCAGATAACTGTCACTTACAATCACCATTTGCATTTGACTGTTTCATTATTTATTTTTTTATCCAATAGTAAACTTGGCTTGTATTGAATTCTAGGACAATTATGCTGTTTGATGCACAGTGGCGATTTCATGCTATTATACTTTTCATTTGATGTGCAGTCAGGACTCCCTAAATAAAACTACAGCAACTAAACTTCCTAAACAAAACTGACAACTGTAACGAGATTCTGGTAAAACTGGTTCAGCTACTTTTTCCACAGAGTGTGGTCAAAGCCAGTTCAAAAAGTAAAGAAAGACTGACCCATCTATAGTTTTTTAGAATACGACAATGGCTTTCCACAGCATAAAATATGTACTCTGTACACAAAGGATAACTGAACAAAAATACACCTGGTGTCTTTCAAACAGCTGAGGTGTGAGGGAAGAACACTGCTGACAAGTCAAAGGTGCTGAGCCATTTTCCTGAAAACCAGAGGGAAACAGACTGCAGACCTAGTAAGCTTGTGTGGAGGAGATGGTGGCTTTGACATTCTTTGCTCAGAATATGGGTCAAGTAAATACATTGCAGAAAACGCCATGGACCTGTTCCTTACAACACCTTTTCCCCCATTGGCTGAAGGAGTTAAGGTAATTAATAGGGGTTTAGCAGCTAAAAAAACAAACCCCCTGCTTTGGCAAGTGAGTAGGCATATGACTAAGACAAAGGCAGTTGAAACAAAAATATTATGAAGAAGAGCTATAAAAAGACCAAATAATAAGAAAAAGAACAAACAAGAACATTTCCAATCACTGGCTAAAATGTTTTCTTCAGCATTGCTGCAGCACATATGTTAACTTTAAATGAGTCATTAATCTCTAGCTATATTGCACTACCTTTTTTCCCTGCTCAGCTACAGGGTGAGGGATAATCTTTCTAAATTAAAGACCACCATTAACATTAAGATTTAAACAACATAAAATGAGGAGAAACACCATTTAAGCAAAAAACATCTAACACTATCAATACTTTCAACCTACAAGGAGCAGTTCCCCAGGCAGTGAAATCAAATATCACAGGAAAAAAAGGGATAAAATAGCAGCAAAACCTGCCATTTTCCAGCAGGGAACTCTGGCTTTTCTTCCCTTCCTGTAGCCCCAAGAAATACTTATAAACTCACATAGAAATGACAGATATTTTGGTATTTTGATTGCAGAGAGAACGTGCAGTACAAAAATGAGCTGTAGATATGTGAAAATGGAGCCTTCAGAAATATCTGTAGCCAAAACTTCATGGTTTTTGACACACAAGAGAAGAGCCCTTGTAACTCACTGGCCACCATATTACCCATCATTTTTTTCAAAAGTGATCCCAGTGAAAACAGTAATTGAAACCACTTCAGGCAGATATTGAAACACCTTTCTGCTGCCATCAACCCTTCAGATGCCTGCACTGCACTGCACTGCCTAAGCAGAAAAGCACCTCTCCAGAAGAACAAGGTAACCTGGTTCCATATTTGCACATGCACTTGGAGATGATTAAAATGATTTTGCTTCTGACTTGCTCACATGTTGTTTCTCAAGGCAAAAACCCTGAAAACTTTTCAACTGGGTACTCTTAACTCTATGGATCTCTGTACACCTCAGATTGGATTAATCTCACAGCATTTTGGACACATATAAGTACAGACAAGTGAGTTTGTTCTCTCAACTCCCCTCCCTAAAAGTCAAGGGAGAGAAATCAGCACTTTCAGGGCAGAATTCATCATATCCTAAAATAGATTTTTAAGACAAGTGTGACTCATCTGACCTATTTGCATTGGCTAAAGGCAGTCTAGACAAGCATCTCAAACACAGATATCTACGCTGTGGAGGAGAGTTAAATCCAGGGGGACAAATCCTCCCGCTGTGCTGTTGTTTTAAACAGGACAGTTGGTATTGAGATGACAGCGGTCTGCCAAAATGGAAAAATGGAATAGCACAGCAGGGGGAACCTGGCCTCACTTCCCACCTGAACATTGTCCCAACAAACACCAGTTAGATGGAAAGCACACAGCCAGTCAAATTATTTCTATGCTCTGGAAATAACCAAAGTCTGAAAAGAAAGAGGAAGATACTGGAAATTTTACCCTGTGTTGTATAACAAGTTCTGGCTGTGTGGATGTACCAGATTTCATTCAGCTTTACAGCATGGACTGCTGAACATCACACAATGTTCCTACAAATGATTCTCATGACACCAATATTTGAAAATTCTCCGCTGATAACTTTTCTGGCAATTTCTGCCACAAATATTCCAACTAAATAATTTCTGAAAAGAAAATAAACGACTGACTGGGTCTCAGATCGACACAAAACCACCTAGACCATCAGATGACAAGGCATGCTCCAGGGAACTTCTCATTGAAGAAGTTCATCAAGATTCAGCACACAGAATG